TGAGGAGGTGTGTCACTGGGGGTGGGCTCTGAGGTTTGAGAAGCTTAAGCCAGGCCTAGTGGCCACGCTCTCTTCCTGCTGCCCGAGGATCCGGATGTAGAACTCTAAGCTACTTCTCCATTACGTCTGCCTGCATGTCACCATGCTTTCTGCCAGGCTGATAATGGACTAAACCTCTGAACTATAAGCGAGCCCCAATTAAGTGCTTTCCTTTAGAGAAGTTGCAGTGGTTGTGGTGTCTTTTCCAGATAGCTACAGAAGCCTTCTAAAGAGAGCTGATGGGCGACTCCATGCCTCTCACAGGATGTACTCAGCTGGGGCTTTGTGGGCTAGAGCAACGGAGTGCATGGAGCTACAGATGGATGAGGAAAAGGCTTAGGACAAGAGGTGTGGACACAGATCATGTGGCCCTGAAAAGAGCAAGTGAGCTGCAGGACAGTGGAGACTGAGGGCCACCGAAGACATAGACCACTGAGGGCTGAAGCAGACCCTGGCACAACAGGGTCCCAGCTGGCCTGGAACTTGCTATGGAGAGCAGGCTGGCCTTGAATTCACAGATATCCTCCTGCCCCAACTTCTGAAGAGGAGAGCTAAAGCTCTGGAGAGATGGCTAAGAGCCTGTGGTACTTGTCCAGTGGATTTGAGCTCAGTTCCCAGCACCCTGGTATCAGGTGGCTCTCAACTTCTGTACACATTTACTAATGCCCTGGCCTGTCTCTGTCTCTCTTCTTCCCTCTCTTCTCTCTTCTTCCCTCTCTCTCTCTAAACTATTTACTTATTTGTTTTTTTAACTCTGTGTGTGTGCCTGAGAGGGAGAGAGTGAAAGAGTGAGAGAGAGAGAGAGAGAGAGAGAGAGAGAGAGAGAGAGAGAGAGAGAGAGGTGTACTAAAAGAGCTGTGTGGAGATTGTCCTTGGGAGCCACACAGGCAGATGACCTTGGCTTCATCAAGCCTCCGGACTTGTTAACCCGGCAGCATTAACCAGTGTCTGCTGCCCTCTGGTGGGCTTGTAGGAAATGGTCCAACTTGCCTCCAGCTCTTTCCTTTAGCCAGCTGTGGGTTATATAGGTTCACCTTCAGCTCCAGCCCAGACAGATGGCAGAAGCAAGTGCTGTGCCCAGGAGGTAAACAACGTGACAGGAATGTTTGCCAGAGAGGTGAAATCAAGGACACAGCCATGAGAATAAAGGCTTTAAAGTCGAGAAGGCCCAAGGCCTGGAATAGTCTCTTTAGTAGCACTCATTGTCCTCCTTATCATCATCGTCATTTTCAGTATTGAGACAGGGTCTCATCGTGTGTCCCTAGTTGGTCTGTCACTCTATGAAGACCAGGATGGTCTCAGACTCACAGAAATCCACCTGGTGCTGCCTTTTGAGTGCTAGGATTAAAGGCATTTCTGACTATTTTGTTTGTGAAGATTTAATTAATCAATCAATTAATTAATTAATTTTGGTTTTTCAGGACAGGGCTTTTTTGTATAGTTCTGGCTGTCCTGGACTGGCTTTGTAGACCAGGCTGACCTTGAACTCACAGAAATCCACCTGCCTCTGCCTCCCGAGTGCTAGGATTACAGGCATGTACCACTGCGCCCAGTAGCAAGTCCTCTTAAAATATAATAAAATAAAATAAAAATATTTTCACGCCCAGACAGAGTGAGTGCAGAGCCGGTGTTGTCAGTGTATGATGACAGTTCTCCTTCTTCACTGATGCTCCTTTCCCTCATTCCTCAGAAAATCTTAGTCCAGAAGCCCTTCCCTGTGTCTGTCCCTAGTCTTTCTTCTCTGCTGCCCTGCCTGCCCAGATGATTTAATTGAATTTTATGTGTATGAGTATGTTTGCCTGCATCTAAGTATGTGCACTACATGTGTGCCTGGTGTCTGTGGGGGTCAGAAGAGGTGAAACCGGGGGTGTCAGATCCCCTGGACATTGTGTGACTGTTGGGAACCAAATCTAGGTCCTTGGGAAGAGCATCCAGTGTTCCTACACCTTGAACTATCTCTTTAGCCCTATCTCTTTATCATCATCTTTTTTTTTTTTTTTTTTGAGACAGGGTTTCTTTTTGTATAGCTCTGGCTGTCCTAAGACTTGCTCAGTAGCCCAGGCTGGCCTCAAACTCAGAGAGATCTGCCTCCTTCTGTCTCCTGAGGGCCAGAATTAAAGGCATGTATCCCACCACTGCCCAGCCCCATTTATTACTTTTTTAAGTGTATGCATGTATGCCAATGTATCTGCCGTGCATATAAATGCTTGAAGAGGTCATAAAAGGGCTTCCGATCCTCTGGAGGTGGTGTTACAAGCAGGTGTGTGTGCCCGGAACTGAATGTATGCCCTTGGAAAAACAGTGTCTTCATTGGGGAGGCACATCTCCAACTTCCAGAATGAGCTGGAAGGACTGGAGCTA